AATTAAAAAAAAATATAGAAAAAATATATGTATGTCATAAAGACACATAAACTTTTTATTTTAAATTTTTTCTACAGAATTACAAATTTCCTCAAACGAGATTATTCTTACGATTTATAGTTAAATTGCGGCTAGGTGGGACGTTGTGACTTAGGAGAGGGCACAATAAACCTTAAGTCGCGCTGTAATTCTCATCTATTTACCTTATCTTATAGTTAAATAATTAACTAAAAATAAAATAATAATTTTCTTTAATTATTTGACGATTTTTGAAACAAAAACCGTTTGCCTGTTTGTTTGGCAAAAGTTGACTAAGAAATACATATTTACAGATTTAAGTTGCTCGACTGACCCCCTAAAGCAGCAGAGGTCTCTAACCGCCAAGAACTGGTTTGGCACGGAATTTCAAAGGCAATTGGTCTTCACCAGATCACTGACTTGATTCAATGTGTTATAGGCGTCACTCAATTCAATAACGGGTCAAATAAAATATGGTAAATGGCTGTGTAATTAAATTTTAGTGAGTTTTTGAAGTTAATTCTGAATAATTAGGCAAAATTACAGCACAAAATCATATAAAACTGAACACTTTGTAAGCAAATATTTTGATGCGTATTTTTTGAAACAAAATTAAATAAATATTTAAAAATAAATTGTGTATACAAATTTTAATTTTGAAGGATATTTTTAAAAAATATGCTGTTTTTATCAAAAAAAACATATTTTTTTGTTGGTTTTTTTAATTTTTTTGTATTTTAGAAATGAATGCTTCGAGACACCAAATCTGGCGGAATTTCATTGCAATTGAAATAACAACACAAGCAAACATGTATGAAATTGCATGAGTACATATATTTTTTAGCAATCATAACCAAATAATATATTTACATACATATATATGTATATGTATATTTTTCATTTCATTAAACAGTTCATTTATTGCGGTGAATGCCACTGTCACTGCGTTGATTTTACTTTGGAGTCACACAGTGAGTTTGTTCGCGTTAAGCGGTAACGCGGTATGTCGCGGGAGTGTGAGGTGACGAAGATGAAGCGATGACGCAGTGACTCGCTTGTGTCGTTTTTGCTTTTGTATTGTCTGTTATAGCTGTTGTTATTATTGCCTACGCGCTTACATACAAACAAATAAGTATGTATGTATGTAAATCACCAGCAGCTGAATGCATGCATTTGTTGTTGTCGCTACGTTTTTACTCGGCGGAGTATATTTACGAGCAATTACTCTTGTTGTTTGTCTATGTTGTTGTCGCCTGTTGTCGGTTATTATTGCGCTTACAAGTATTGCGTTGCTATTGTTGTAGCTGTTTTTGTTGTTTGCAGTCGCCGCCGCTGACGGTTCATTATCAAAATGTGCCAATTAAAGTTCAGTGGCATTGCATTTTATGTCAACGTC